CAGTGTTTCCCACAGACTTGCACTCTATTTGTGGCGGAATATATATGCAAATTCATTCTATGTTGGAGTGGTTTGCCCGGTAAAGGCTGTACACAAAGCAGCGCTCCGCTCACAAACGCTGCTTTATCAGACATTACATGCAAGAAGAAATTAAAATGACATCCAAAATTTTCTGAAGACAGTCGGTTTCCTTCAGAAATGCATTTATATAAAAACACCCGCACCGGGTTTCAATTTTGAAACGTGCTGTGCTCATGTTTATTCAAAGAAGTCAAAGCCTTTTGGAAAATCTATTTGTGATGGTCAGTTTTGAAATAAATCAATGTATGGGAAACACACTGTAGTCTCATATTTGAAGTGTAAATTCTGCAGATTACATCATTGTCCAATATTGTACTGTCAGCAATTTATAAAAACGTTTTCATAATTGTAACATACATATTTACATACATAATTATTCAGGTGCATGCGTAATAACTTGCAAAAACTTGATGCTACAACAGCACTTCTTCATCGTCGTCTTGTCTGATGCACTCAACCAAGCGTTAACCACGACCTCGCCCCTCCCCACCCCCCAACCATTCGAATTTCGTAGGGGGATTTATTTTAATGATATTCTAATGGACCTCTTTGTGACATCACAAAACCCAGAAAACAACGCTGTAGTCCAAACGAGCCGTTCATTGTAGTTCTTGAAAGGGGATTTAAAAAATAAAAATAAATATCTCCCTTTGGGGTGGACTTTGAGATTTGTAACTTTGTAGATATTTTTTTAAGCCCAAACATTTCAAATTAATCACATTCTCTCAGGCAAAAAGAAAAACATTATTATGAGCAATGTAGAAAAAAAGTTAAAGGCCTCACGAGTTTGTCTGTAGCGCAAGCTTCGTCCAGTTGACATCCGTTAGACTTGCAGTAGCTGTCAGCCTCAGTGGTGGTCTCACAGTTGAGGCCTGTGAAACCCCCTGGGCATGTGCAAACATATCCATTAGCAGTCTCCTCACAGCGACCGTCATTCCAGCACGGGTTTGAATCGCAGAGGAGCCTCTTTCGCTCACAGTAAGTACCTGCAATGAAAGAATTTATTGAGAATGAATGAATATGAAATGATCATAATTAAAATGAATAAAAAGTAAACACATGCTTCTGTCAAAGCATTTTTGATTTAGACACTGGGTCTCATTCGCTAACTGTGCGCATGCACGCATTTGTGCATAAAATCACGCTGATGAAATCAAGATTCATCAGTAAGTCTGTATTTTTGTCTTAAAGGGGTCCTATTATGCTCTTTTACTTTTTAAGCCCAAACATACACACTACACACTGACTAAAATTCAAAAAGTGAAAAAGCATAACGGGACCCCTTTAAAACAAGTGGAATAAAATGAATGTGTTTATTTGCCAGTTCTTCCTGTTATTTTAATTTTTACAACAGTTCTATGCAACACAATGTAATCAATCTGTTATTTATGATAACACATGTAAATCCATCGGCAATTTATTACAATGCAACATTGTAACTTTGTTGCATAGCAACAACTCACTTGTGGTAAGACTTTGTGTAGATGCTAAAAATTATACCTGAAATTTTGTATCGGGGTTGGTTTATGTACTTTAATTTAAGCTTTTCTTTACTTTTGCTTCACCTTTTCTTTATTAGATTCGTCTTTACATATGCTAGGTTTGCGTCAAAGATCAAATCACAGCTAGATTGGGATTTGCAATAGCACATTCCCACTCGGGATCTTTTGTTTAGCTGCATATCATTAGTTATTTTATTAAAGTATGTTATTCTGTTTACCAGTGCCTATTATGCCACTATCTGTTTCTGATAGGGCTTTTAAGAAAATTAAAGACATTAAAAAAAAATCATGCTTTTTTTTTTTTTTTCAAATACATTACTAGTCTGATTTAACACAGCTGCTCTTTAGCTTCCAAATCATCTTCATAATAACTATTAGCTTCTGACTGCTTAGTGAGAACAAATGTTCAAACTTTACGACTGCAATGACAGCGGACAATTGCTCCAGCATATCGACAGTACTGAGAGTCTCAGCGTGGCGCCCCACGCCTCTCATTTGGTCTGATGAAAAATGAGAACATATAACTTTTCTCAATGCTTCACTAATGAGGAGGTTCAAGGGTCCAAATTAAGTCTCCATCTTCCCTGAACCGAACAACCCAATCAAACAGGCTGAAGGCTTTGGACTGAGAACATCTAGGCTGCCGGTTTCTCTAAGGTAACCGTGGATTGGAACATCAGTCTGATTTCCGCTCTCCGCAGGTTAAATTTAGACTTGACTATGCAGCACTGTAGGTTCAAGGTGAACATGATTTGATTTTATTCCCTATTGGTGCTCTGTTTGCTTTTTCTTTTTTCCCCTCCATGTTCCTCAGCAGTGATTTTGTTTTGGGGGTGTACTAGAACATGCTCTCATGCTTGGTGGTTCGAAAAACGCATTATTTTTCACATAATTTACATTATTACAAAACCTTTCCCCAGCCTGGCACAAACGGCTCGATTAGTTCTGGGTTTAATGAAGGCCAGCGTTACGAAAAACGAAATGTGTTGTGATTGGTTAGCTGTCTACATCAGTCTGATTCCCGCTCCTCGCAGGTTAAATTTAGACTTGACTATGCAGCACTGTAGGTTCAAGGTGAACATGATTTTATTTTATTCCCTATTGGTGCTCTGTTTGCTTTTTCTTTTTTCCCCTCCATGTTCCTCAGCAGAAGCTAACTCATTTATCTTCCTTGTTACTGTGTTTTCCTTTCCTTTTGTCGTTCAGTTTTTTAAAGCATATTCTAGCGTGTTAAGCTAACAGGATGATACAAAGGTCATCAGTCCCAGAGGCGCCCAACTGCTTTTGAGGACACACCATTGGGCGTCAGTCTAACTGTACGTCTCTCTGCAGTGTTTCTCTGGGATCCACAGTGGGAAATTGAAAATGAAAAGTTCTTGACATTATAAAACTCAAAGCTCAACATTATATTTTATTCTTCCACAAGAACTATCTTTGATTGGCAACCCTTCCTCGCAGGAGGTCTTTGAAATAGTAATGCATCATATAGGTACATGATTCAATGTTTGATAAAGGCTGATGACTTCATGAAGGTTGATGAAAATCATAAAAGCAGTGATACGAAACACCCTGCTGTGCACTACCTTGAGATATCACCCATCCAAATCAGAAGCCAACCTATTAAAACCACTCAGAAACAAGACAATTACACCATTTGAATTTCCACAAAAACCATGGGGCAGGTGAATAGCAAAATTAATAGCGTATCCAATAGGGCATATCCTATTAATTCCATAACATGCGGACACAAACACCACTGGCAGTCTGAATAAGGTACACAGGAGAGTGGAATCAAAAGAAAATCTCATTTGAAGTGTCCCACGTGTGGGGCTCATTATTATGTGTATGTAGGCTCTGGTCCGTAAGGGCAGTCGGTACCGGGCCAGCCGTTAACTTCACTATGATTAATGGGGTGACAGCTTGGGCAAAGTCAGAGAGCTGCTGGCCCCACAGGGGGCCCAAACAGAGCAGAACTGGAGACCAGTTACTTTCACTTCCTTACAAGGTGCTCCAAGAATATGTGTTGATGTACTGACGTCACGGTGCAATTGTTCTGTCTAATTGAGCTGAATCATTAGTAAAATGTGGCTGTGGTAAAGGCAAATCAGATGCAAACAAGAAAGTACTCATGAAGTTACATTTTATTGCAGTGTTGAACTCCCAAACCATACAGCATAAGCATCAGCTGCTTAACTGTATTTACACATTCATGTATATTCACCAGGGGCTTAGGCAGCCCCCCCCCAGTTTATTATACAAATATAATATTTGTTAAATAATTATTGTTTAATCTATTTTAACAAAATTAGAGAACTATTATAACATCTCAAATAACTAAAATAAATAAAATGTGTTTTTGCATAATTCTTGATGAGTTTGATTGACAGCGGTGTTAGCCAAGTGTTATCCAGGCTGCAACATGTTTTGGGCATGTCGCGCATGTAAATTTGTGCGTGTTCACCCATTCAGTTGGACTGTAATTTGCAGCGGTGTTAGAAAATGTTAGAAAAAACAGCAGCAATGCATAATTATGTAAAAAAAAAGAAAAAGAAAAAAACTCGCACTGACGAGAGAGAGAGCCCGTCCATCAGTCCGCAAGTAACGGTACTTTCAGTTCCACGCGAACCGGTTCATTCTGTGAAGCCAGGAAACACTACTGTCAGGCCGATTATGAATGTCATTTGAGCTCAGTCAGTGTTTTCAGTTGGTGTTCAAAGTCGTTTGGTGTGCGGTGTCTAAAGAATTTAAGACCAGCTGTTGCCAGTCGTCCTCACAAAGATTAGCCTATTTTTTT